ATGGACTGTGACCTGAGAAGTGTAAGCCAAATAAATCTATTCCTCCCCAAGTTGCTTTTGGTCATGGTGTTTATCACAGAAAACGAGAACATTAATCTTAACAAATATAGTTTGATATGTGTCTGTCAGGCCTCACTTTAGCATAGCTTCATGAATTCAAACACAGCTATCTATATCTAAAATACAAATTAAACATCAGTTACCTCTTTTATGCAGCTCATTCTATCATTTTAAATATATTTGTTTTAAAATGAAACACATTATCTACACTAAGTGGAAAATCAGTATGGCATGGAATAAATAGAAGATCATTATGAGCAAGATTGATTTCTTGTGATGCATGCCTGCCTATCTACAAGATGTTGTCAAGAAACCAAGGCTTCAAAGACACACAGTCTCCTAAGACCAGAAAGCTAGCTGAGCATGAGCCAGAGAGTGAGCCAATGGGTAGCTTTTCTCATAGCCTCTCTCTCTAAAGGAGGTGAAGACCTCTCCAGGCTTCAGCCATGCTAGGGAACTCAGAAGTATGCAGGCTGGTATCGTTCAAGTGTATTCAGACTTAAGTCTGTGTGCCAAGAACATCATTTGCAGATTCACCATGGGAACCTCTGGGAAACCCCCATCCATGAGAGAATTTTACACATCAGGCTTTGTACATATTTATCTAAGTCAGTGCCATGGACAGCGAGTCTCTGAAAATGCAGAATGGGATCTGGGGGCAGAGAGCAATTAGCTATTCTGCTGTGGTTTCAGGATCCAAGAAGGCAAATCAAAGCAGATCTGATCGCCGAGATAACAGCATTAAGATGAGACTCTCGGCAAACAAACTTCTTCAAACAAGAAATATGAACTTGAAGCCGATAAGAGATCTTCACTAACTCCTGCTGAGTTCATTGCTGATATGAAAGTGGCTCCTTACCCATGAAATTGCACCTGTCACAGCGACTTCACTTCATTAAGGCGGCTTCCTGATCCGAGCAAGATTATCAGCAACACACAATCTATGGCTCTCCAGCTAATGAAGACTGCCTCTCCTGAGGTGCCAACAGCTGAGCTCTGAGTCCTAAGATAACTGAGAAACGGCCAGAGAGAAGGAAGGATTTATAAAGCCAAACAGCCCCTCAAGCCAAACCTACCAGCATTATCAAAGCGTCCACTCAATGAAACCTTTTCCAATTATCCTCAAGAAAAAAAAGACCTTGCCTCGCTTCAGCACCACCTGCAATAATGGACCAAGGTTTCCCCTGATTCAACTCTGTGAAGACAGAAGTATAAAATGAAAGGTTTTGAAGAGGGTTAGTTAGGGATAACTATGAAAGATGCTAATAAATACGTGGTACGTAATAAAAATATCTATTTTTCATTATGTACATTTTGCTAAGTAGAAAACAGACACAGAGTCACGGGGGGGGGGGAACCTCAGCCAAATGGTTCACTGTAGAAATTAATTCATATTCAACCTTTCCCAGATCCCCAGCTCTGCCTGCAGGAGTCTCAGGTGTCAAGCTCCTCTGGAGTTTTTTTCTGGGACAGCATCTGCTCAGATAAATATCCTTCTCTGTTTTTCTTGAGTGGACGTCTTTGAACTCATAAACCAGAGACCACTCCATAAGTATGCATTTAGACTTGTATCCTAATGCATATGTGAACAGAGATAGTTTCATTCCAGACTTGATTAAAATTTATCGAGCAATTATAGGCATTTTCCCGCATACCAGGCATTGCCACAGAAGCTGGGGATGTAGCTGTAAGCAAGGCGTGATTCTGACACCAAAGGAGCCTTTGGTCTAGGCTTCTTCATGAAGCTCCATCTGCAGACCTGTCACATTAGGACCCTACACTGGTGTGTGTGTGTGTGTGTGTGTGTGTGTGTGTGTGTGTGTGTGTGTGTGTTGCCATCCTATAGAAGGTATACATTAACAAGTTGCACAAGCATATCACTAGCATGTCATAGACATATGTTTAATATACTGTGTCCTCACACTTATATAGGGTACTTCATACACGGGGTCATGCATGCTTTTATTTCCATTATCTGTCCACATAAATATGAACCAAGTGTTGCATAAGAAAAGTTCTCCAAATGGGTGGCATAATGACGCTATATCCTTCAGAGAGAAATATGTGGGTAGTCTACCAGAGTCTTGTTTCTTAAAGGAGACATTGACAGAGGCACAGGACAGGAGCTACTTCACACATTAGAGTGCTTAGAGATGGCCTGGAGATGCAATGAACTAGAAGGCTTGGTTTGTCAGAGCCAGAGCCAGGCAGCTTGTACAGTGCCTCCCTCAGAGCACTCTACTCTTCGCTTTTGTGCCCAAGATGAACTCAGCCAATTTTAATGAAAAAATACATAGCATAAAGACAATAAAAAAAAACTTATGGCAGTTCAAATCCCATTGTATCCATGGACAACATTACTGCTGCTATCAATGAGTCACAGTAGATTGCAAACAATGGCACAAGGGAAAATGGAAGTACATTGGCTGGGATCCTTTCCCCTACTTGTTTCCCCTCTTGTGGTAGAGAATAAAAGCAATTATCTAGTAAAGCATCTAACCATCCATTCTTCCATCATCCATCATCCATTCATGGTTTCACTCATTTATCCATTCATCTATCTATCTATCTATCTATCTATCTATCTATCTATCTATCTATCATTCATTCATCCTTTCACTTAGTCATCCATTTATCCATCCATCTATCCATCATCATCATCACCAGCAGAGATATCTTACCAGCCAAGTCCATTCATCCATTATCCATCCATATATCCATCTATCCATCCTTCATCCTTCCATCCATCATCTATTTATCTAAATATGTACCATTTACTTTTCTTGCAATTGAGGCCAAATACCTTATAACAAACACCTTAAGGTGCAGTGAAATAATCCTTCTGTACACTGTGAATATGTATTAATCTTATTGGTTAATAAAGAAGCTTATTGGCCTATAGCAAGGCAGGAGAAAGTTAGGTGAGACAATCAAACAAAGGATGCTGGGATGAAGAAGGGCAGAGTCAGAGGAGTCACCAGCCAGAAGCAGAGGGAGCAGGAGATGAACATTCCAAACTAATAAAGGTACCGCCACATGGCAGAGCATAAATAGGAAATATGGGTTAGTTTATGTATAAGAGTTAGCTAGTAACAAGCCTGACCTATGGACCATGCATTTATAATTAATATAAGCCTCTGTGTGGTAATTTGGAAGAAGCTCTTGGGATGGAAAAACTCTACTTACATTAAGGGAGGAAAGATTTCTTTTGACTCCTAACTTAAGTAGGGAAACAGTCCATCGCAGTAGAAAAGGCAAGAGTGTGAGGTGGGCTGGGCATGGTGGCACATGCCCTTAGTCCCAGAACTTGAGAGGCAGAGGGAGGCAGATATCTGAGTCTGAGGCCAGCCTGGTCTACAGAGTGAGTTCCAAGACAGCCAGGGCTACACAGAGAAACCCTGTCTTGAACACAAACAAACAAACAAACAAAAGTGTGAGGTGGGCAGTTACATTGCATCTGCAATGAGGAAGGAGAGAACAGACAGGAAACAGAGCCTCAAGGCCCACCCCTAGTGATCTACTTCCTCCAGAACTTCCCACAACCTCCCAAACAGGCCACCAGCTGAAGACTCACCTGTTCAAACAAATGAGCGAGCTTATGGCAGACATTTCACATTCAAACCACAATACCATCTATCTATTCATCGATAAGTCAATCCACACTTCCATATCCACCAATCACTCTGTCTACCGTCACCCATTTTGACACACATGTGCCTATCTATCCCCCGGATGACTATTGGCTACTTGACAAAATCACTTTACGTGAGGATGGTGCTCATTTTGCAAACTGGATCTCTCGCACGGGCACACTGGGCCAAGATCACATGTAAGACCCCCAAGTCTCTCTGTGTCACCCACTCCTACCACGCCAACATTCAGGGCAGAGCTCAAACGCCGACTTCCTCTTTTCTTCTCATTTTCTTTTCCAGTCAGGAAAAAAAAAAGAGAGGGACACAGACTGTTGTAGGTGACCCAGATTCCTCCAATTAACACCAGGTAAAGAAGCACAGAGACAGACTGAAGCCGAACGATCCCTGAATTGGTTTCAAGTGCTTTTGATAATGGGGGGGGGGCAGAGTAATAAAACAAAACAGTAATAGCCACAAAGTGAGATTCATCACCTCTGTGTTATGGGAAATAGATGTATTTTCCAAACACTGAGTTTTGAAACTGCACTCCAGGAACAATGGGCTACCTTGCTAGATTCATCCTTTGATTTTTTTTTTTTTTTTTTTGCTCTATTTTTCAGTAATACGGAGATCCAGAAGAAATGTAAAAGTGACAAAGAAAATGTATGTGACCAGACTAGGAATTCTCCGAAGCCCCAAATGAGGTTCCGGGAGAAAGGAATAAATCAAGAACTCCTAAGTCGCCAAGCCGTTCTTTGCCCAGCTGTGAATTGCCTGTTTCTAATTTGGTGGCTATCAGAAGCAGATCCGGGTTTTAATTTCTCCCTAGAGTGATTCACGATTGCCTGTAATTCCACAGCAGGTGGCTCACTGTTCCATCAGAAAGTGCCTGTGCACAAATACAATCACATGCATTACGTTGACATCAGATCCGTAAAGGTGGGCTGCATGTACCCTGCCTGTAAGAGTGAACGCTACCTTGTTTAACACATGTGGAAATACATTAAAAAAAAAACACCCTACAATTCTGACACCTCTGATGTGAACTAGAAAGAAGTGACAACTCCAATTAATGTTAGATGCCACTACATGGAGAGGTCCTTGCACATGATAAAGTTTCTATGGCCCTATGAACAGGATGCCCCACCGCCCCCATCTGGAAGACTCCACCTATTTTACCCAGAGACATTAATGGCAGATTGCACACACCACATACAAATCACAATAAAGTCAGCTAGCAAACTTCAGAGCAATAGGAAGCCACCAAGGCAGAGAATCTGAGCATAGCACAGGCCAGGTAGGACTTACCTCTTCTCTGAGCCAGCAGCTAGCTTCTGACAAACGATGACAGCTGGTGCATACTTCCCAGTGTACTCCGAGCTCTGCTTGACATCCCAGATGGAAGGGCTGCTGGCTCTCACCGCAATGATGCTCACTCCTTTCTTAACCTTGGCCCTGTGGGAGACAGGAAGTGAATGTTTCAGACAGCCCTGGGAAGTCCCCAGGTCCAGGTCAGCAGTGGTACCAGGGATGTGGTGAACATTTGCACATTGTAGCCTTGCAGGTATGAACTCATGGGGAATTAGATTTAAACACAAATTTGCAACCACCTTCTGATCCATCTGTCTAGTCCCCCATCCCATCCCTCAGTTATCGCTGCTTTTACAGAAGGAGCTAGCGAAATGTGCTGGCCTTCAGCAAACATCTGTTACATATAGAAACAGAATGTCTCTATTAATTAAAAGACAACACACAAAACAACAACAACAATAAAACCTACCTGAAATCCCTCATAGTGAAAAAACTGAATGGGAAATGGAAGTAAGCCAAATTTACAGAGGTAACATTCATAATAAGGGAGCATCTGCAGCGGCAGGGTCCTGAGCAGCAGACCTTATGAACACTAAGCACTACACTTGATTTTTCCCAGCAGTGTCTGAGTTCCACAGTGGAGAACTGAGGCTCAGACAGGTGAGGGGATGTTCATGGGTCCCTGCATAGAGGTGCTAGGCTGAACAGGGCTAGCCAACTTCTACGTTTCTGTTCCTTCCTGACATTCTTATCATCTTTGTCATCATAACCACAGCCTCCACCATCATCATCATAGATGCAACCCATCTTCATCATTACCACTACAACCTCCATCACCATCATCATCACCATCATCACCACAATCTCAATCAATATCACCACCACAATCGCCATCATTATCATCATCTCTTCTTCATCGCCACAACTCAATCATCATGATCACCATGACATGACAAACTTCCCTTCACCATCACCACCATCACATACTTCATCATTATCATCATCAATCACTACAATCCTAATCTTCGTCATCACACCACGACCTCTCTCTTCATCCCCATCCCCACAATGTCCATCTTGATCCTCATCACCACCACAATCCCTGTCTTCTTCATTGTCACAAAGCCCTCTTCAGCATCATCAACAACACTACAGTATCTTCATTATCATCATCATCATCATCATCATCACTACATCCATCTTTATTACCATCACAACTACCATCTCTTTCATCATCACCACCATCTTCTTCATCATCATCATAATCCTCTGTCCTATGAATTACTTACCATCAGCTGGATGCTATTGTAAAGCCATTATGGCCCTATAACAGTTCACCCTCAAATACCCTGCTAGGTCCGTTGCCATGGGAAAGTTTATCTCTTTCATGGTTCCAGAGTAGAGGAACAGGCCTTGAGCTGCAGGTAGGACAACACTCTGGGCTCTCCCTGTATCACTGGGAGCTTCTGCTATTAGAGCTGATAAAACTAAATGTAACCATTGTCTCTGCTACTCGCTCAGCGTTGGTTGGCTTGCTACCCAATATCTACTCATGATTTAGCCAAGGTCATATTCACCAAGGCAGTTCACCTTCCATCTGAGACTCCATTTATCATCTCTCCCGCCCCTTCCCCTCCCTCCATCATGGAAGGGGAACTCATGGTCCCATGGGCTATTCTGCAAAGTACAAATACCCCTGCCCTTGCCCAGAAGCTGGATGATGGAGGCCCTCTTTGCACTCATGCCCTTGTTTCTTTCTAAGACATTTCAAAAGAAAAAAAGCCTACATGCGATGAGAAAAGGCAAAAGGACAACACAGTAATTTTCACAGTTTGATTTACAAACTGCCTTGTAGATCTGAAGAAAGCGTGTGTTTCCTTCCCACTGTGTCTTCCCTTTCCTGTTCCTTGGGGGAGAATATCAAGAGTTTAGAAGTTAAGGTCCCAAGGGATGTTTGGAGGCATCTGTTCTCCTGGGGAGAAGATGGAGGTACTCACAACAGTCTGTGTCACATGCTCTGCCCAGTTCCTGTCTGCACCTCTGAAATCTTCAAGGAATGGGGCATAGAAGAAAATGGAGACATGCCTGTCCGTAACTATTTCTACTTCCACTGGGGACAATTTTACACACAATCTGCAGGAGAGGACATGGAGTCACCATGCTCCAGGAAGGCCATCAGGAAGACTGGCAGTGGCACTGGGAACAGGATCCTGGGAGAGTTTCCAGCATTCCTTAGCTGAGAAGAGTGGGACGCCTGGGTTTACACTATGCAGACACCATGATTCACAGGCAGCACCAGGTAACCTAGAAGGGCCGGGAGTGTTAGCAACTTGCCAGGCAGAGGGCACCATGTGCCTAGTCTCCAGTAGAATCCTGCACTTCTGGGCTGAGGGACACCTCCTCCCTCGATGTTCAACCCTGAACACAACATTGCACAGCCATTTGTTTGGGGGAGCTAGGGTCATGCTGTGTGGCTTCACAGGATGAGGATTCTGGAAAGTTGTGCCTGGCTTCCTCTGGACATGGTCCATGTCCTTTCCCCCTCTGTTGACTTTAGTGTATGTGTTTTTCGAGACATCAAGCTGAGCAGCACACATGACTACAGGGGAAGCCCTCTGAATCTTCCTAGTGACTTGTTGGACCTGAAGGGGGTTTTGAGAGCTGGTAGCTTCCTGCTGAAAGACTACACTTCCCAGATCCCCTTATGGTCTCTGTGAATCATTTCCTCCCTTATAAAGGTTACAACCAGCTTCTTTCTGTGGGAATTCTCTCTCATCGACCCACATGACATGAGACTTACAGCCCTTCCATACATGTAGGTGAGATCTGAGATGACCCGAACACTGTGTTTCAGTCAATAAACATAGTCCTGCCTAGAGGTCAGACTCAACTGCTCCCCGTTTGGCCTTTTCCAGCTCCTTTAATCCTAATAATATAATGCACCCCCCCTCCCGCCCCGGTACACACATTAGTCTATAACAACAGGGGGGATTGACCACTTATGGATAGCCCTGGGTGCTAACACTAGTAGTTTTAGAAATGGATTGTAGTGTACAGCATCACTTCCATGGGGGAAACGAATGTGCTTTGGGGGAGTTTTGTTCCTTCTGGTGTTAGGATGGGACCCAGTGCCTTTGGCATGCCTGACAAGCACTCTATAACCAGGTGACATCCCCAGCCCATGTTTTGTATTTCAAATGACTACAAGAGCAGATGTTTTGGATACATCATTCATAAAGGTGAGGTGTTATGTACAAGACTGTATGCTCAGGATAATCTTCTAGCTAAATAAGTTTTGGCTTCTACTTTGTACAAACTCGACTTAAATTATAGGCAGTCAGGCATGCTGGTAAAGGGGCTGAGGAGATGGCTCAATGCAGAACGTACTTGCTGAGCAAGCGTGAGTTCGATCTACAGCGCTTACATAAAAGCTGGGCACAGAGGAAACACTTGGAATTCCAGGGCTGGGGAAGAGGAGACAGGAAGATCACTGGGGCTTGCTTGCCAGCCAGTCTAAGCCAAATCAATGAGCCCCAGGTCTCTCTGCAATTTCAAAAGCAAGGTGAAATAGGTGAAGACCCCTGGGATCAGCGTGTGCCCTCCACGTGCTCCTGTGCAGTGTTGCACACACTGCACAGGAGCACACACACAGATCTACTAGTGTAAAATTTCATTCACCGTGGACAGCTATTCTTTCGAGATATGTTAGAATGGATTATAGAGGCTGTCCCAATTACTGTGCGCTAGAATTCTATTGAACCAAATTTGCTTGAAATAAATAGGTCATCAGCCCGGCTTTGGCAATCTTTTTATTATCTGGAAGGTGCTGGTACCTAGGCCTTTGCTGACATATAATGGGCTTATATTTTGCTTAGATTTTATTCCTAAGTAGGTCATTTAGAATTTGGATGATTGTTTCTCGGTGAGTGGCTTTTCAAATGTACAGGGTTATTTATTTAACCCATGAATGACCTGAAGTTTCTATAGCTACTGTGGTTTTGAAGAGGAAATTCTTTCTAAGATTTACCGTAGAACACTGGATTTGCCTCTTTCGAGAACAGACTTTCCTGAGAAAATACACACACACACACACACACACACACACACACACACACACACACACACCCCAAGAATCTGACACGGAGTGGGAAAGAGATGTTTGCATGGTAGAGGACCACGCCATGTGTGAATATCACCTACAAACATCGGCAAGGTTGGCTCCCTGCTCCTTGGAGATGGATCCATAGTCTTTAGCGAACACGGTGAGCCTGCGTTAATCATTCTGACACAAGTGGCGGTATGTGGGAGTCCATGGCAGGCAGTTCTTAGAACCTCTGGAGATCGGCATCATTGGGTCTGAACCAAATGCTAGTTCCGTTTTTGTTTATGACAAGCGGGTTCCTTACAGTCATTAATGGAAGTTTATAACCCACTTGTGGTTCCATAAATACAGGTTACCCTGACAGCCTCATTACCAGAGATAAACACAGCACTTGATTTCCGAAGACACTTTATCGTAGATTTACATTTAATAACACATCCACCATGGTGAGAGCGGAAAAGCCATAATTTTCCCTAGAGTATGCCCATGCGGTGAAGGCTGATAGAGACAAAACCTGCTTGGGGTTAGGGGATGGTGTACTTTTAAAACGTACTAGAACAAGCTGTGAAGTCTAGACACATGCGTTATGTATGATGTTTATATTATGTACATGGCATATGCACAATGTATACCCACAGCCTCAAGCACAGGATTCAGGAACTTAACTAAAATAGCCAGGACTAGCTGGCAGCCTGGACACTGAACCCAGGGGCATAGTGGCTATGTTTGTGCCTCCACCTACCCCTCCACATTCCAGCCTCTGACTCTGGGTAATGCTTAGCAACCTGCCCTCTGGCAATGTTGGGCTCGATCCTAGATCCTTGTGAAGGAGGTTGACAGTTAACCCAAGCCAACCTACCCAAAAGCTCTCTCCTGGGAATTTACAAAGCACTGTACCCTAGTAACCCATTTCTCTCCCTGCCTGCCACCTTGCTTCTTTCTCTCTAGTCTCTGACATTAACATATGTAAATGAGGCATTTATTATCATATGCAAATGATCATTTAGCCTCAAAGTATGCCAACCATCCAGGATCCAGTCCA